AGTCACTTTAGCATTCCCAAATATCGTATATCGTTTTGTCTAGTTCTTGTCGACTCATTGTAATGTTAATATTCTACAACATCATTATTTGGTCAAGTTTGTATTGAATTCTACTTAATTTTTTAGAGAAATTTATATGATCTAGGAAAATAAATACGATATCTAGGGTACAGAATAGTGACAGGTAAAATGAAAAATCCCAGTGCGTCAATCCGACTCGCACTTGACCAGACCATTTTTGAAATTCCATTGTCTGAAAGGTGCGTTGAAACTAGGCGTTATCGATCTAGCTGCAGCAATAGCCGCAAATGTTATGGGTCACCTTCAAGTTCAACTCGCATTCTTAGAATTCATTTTCGGCATACAACTTTAGCGCTTTAGAATTTGGGTCGTAATTCGTATATCACGGACCGACGACCTCATAAAGGTAAGAAGGCGCTGGATGCAGGCCGATGGCAACCGGGCGATGTGGAAATCATTGGGGAGGCTCATGTTCAGCAGTGGACGTCCTGTGGCTGAAATGATGATGATTCGTTTAATATCAAAAACATAAGAGGGAAGATAGCCAGTTTCTCTGTGGTTTAGGATTACGGGTGAAGCTCTCTTCCACCTTTAAGTCTGATCATCACTAGGTCAGATGAGATGCAGGCCTAGAGCTATAGGTTTAAAAAGAGTTTTCCTGGTAACAAAAGTAATGATACGTTTCCAGGTCAAGTATGTATGAGTGCTAATTGCACCGAATCCGCAGTTGTTAAATAATGCATAGTAAAATACATCGTCAAAGATTCTATTGCACCACTCTGACTCAACTAAAACCTAGCGTTATTTTTTTTGTAATTAGATAAATAAATAAGCACAAAAAATTTGCTATAACTTTTTTTGATATCGAGGCTGTTGAGTTTTTTATAACTTTGCAACCATTAACGCAGTTTATTGCACCACATAAAAGTTTTTATTTCTTATCTGTTATGGTGATGAAACTGCAGTGATTTATGAAAACGCAAAGCCTCTTGTATTTTTTGCAATGAAGAACGAAAACTTCTGTGAAGCTGCTATGTGAATTTCATATTTAGATAAAAAGGTTTACTTGTAGCTTTGCTTGTTACGAGTAAACTGTCACATCCTTAGAGGTTGCAATCGAATATTCGAATATTCGAATTTAGATTCCAAATTTAATATTCGAATAGTAAATTAACACGTATTCGAATATTCGAATATTACAAAAATTAACAGAAAAGATAGAACGAAGACAACTTAGTGTTTGCAAATGTGGTTGGAGGCATCAAATACATATCACCAACTAAAAGAACTAGTCATTGATGCTTCCGACTTCATTGGTGAACAATAAGTTGTCTTGCGAAACAAAGGTTCCAAATTACCTGAAAGAGACAACTTTATTGAGCAAAGTCAGCTAACGATGCTGAAGACGGCGGACGGTAATGTCAACAAAAGCCGAGGTTCTGGGTGAGATCGAAAAGATTTATGGACAGCTACATACCTCCAAACCTGTTAATAACTCAGCAACAGATGCAAGTGCTAGGTTAACGCGACACTATACCAAAGACATCCCGTATATCAGCCTATACGAGATTAGGAAGGCTCTCAAACAGCTAAAGAACAACAAGGCACCGGGTGATGACGGAATAACCTGGGATCTTCTGAACGCGGGTGGAACACCGAAACTCGTCCCGTCTTACTCTAAAGAACAACGCCAGAGGTATGGGATAGAAGCGTGGTGATGCTTTTCTTGGACTATGAGAAGGCCTTTGATTCGATCGATACTTATGCAGTGCTGCAGTCTCTTCAACGGTGCCGTATTGACTATCGGTATATCGAGATGCTGAAATGCCTGTACAAAAACGCTACCATGTCGAGCCGAGTACAGGAGCAGAGCACGAGAGCGATTCCTCTGCAGCGAGGCGTGAGGCAGAGAGATGTTATATCTCCGAAACCGTTGACCACTGCATTGGCAGACGCTTTCAAGCTCCTTGAATGGAAAGGATTAGGCATAATTACCTTTCAATAGCGAATNTGTACTCAGTGTTGCACTATCAAATGCAATTGACGCGCCTCTATGCCAGGGTTTTTATGTTCCTGGTCAGGCTATATTTACTTTTACTGAAAATTCTTGAACTTTGCTTCACTGGAGATCCGTATTTAGATTGTCTCCTTTAGCCGAGTGAGTATCGCTCATTTACGTTTAACACTTATATTCACAAACATTACTATGAGGTCTCACAGTGCGCGTGGACTCTCAGGGTGACACACGAACCAATCACTTAAGCAAGCATCGTTTGTGAATACGAACTTAAGAGATGGCAATGTCTTTGGGCCCTACCATTTCGGGGAAACATAATCAGCTAAAGAAGAGGTGGAAAAATATAAGTCACTGTTAATCAATGGAATGAAATTGCTAATTCAGTACATAGGCCCTTTTCAGGCAACACACGTCCCAAATATAGCTTGCCCTACTACCACTTCGGGAAAACATATTGTGCTGGTGGGTCGTTTTTCTTTTTTACCTACAATGGACATGTAATATTGCCTAAATTTTTGAGTGAGATATAATTTTTCAGATGGTCTATCTTACGATTTCAAATTAATTTATAAGCAAACAATATCCATCAAAATGTACACCTCCGTCACGGTCTTCAAAAATAGTACCACTTACACCTCCGTCACGCAATGTAACTTTTTTCGTAAGTTAAATAATTAAGAGAAGTACCTACGACATGATACATAATTCCTAATCTATCATACATCAGGAATATTTTCGTAGTTTGAAGTACATATATTTTTGTTTTTATAATTATACATTCGTGTTATGGGGACAACTTATTGTAGGTAAAAAAGAACGACCCTGGTGCTGAAAAGTGGCGGAAGAAACTCAGTCACCTTTGTCATATTAACACTAGAGTACACGCGTGGCCTACTATAGTAGACCAGGGTAACATTTTACGCTATAACTTTTTAAAAACTTGCGCCAGAGAGCTGGCATTCCAGGAAAGCCTCGTTTACTAAATTTGACAATAAGGCAGTAAAGCTTGGGTCGCTAGCGTCTTCGCATTTTTTTAAAATTGGCCGTCAAAACTGCGGGTCTACTCAAAAGCCCGAAATCACTCGACAAAAAAAATATGGAAGACTTGCAAAAAATGGATTTACCCCATGTACTAGGTAGCAGAAAGTCTTGAATACTATGAAAGATAAAAAACAAATCATATTTTTTTAGTAAATAATTTTTCTGCTAACATGGATCTCAGAGTGCAATTTTGGTCCAAAAAATTTACAAATTTTAAATCCGTTTATAATGTTTAATCCCAAATAGTTTTATAAAGAAACTTTGATTATAAAAGAACTATAATAAACACTTTTATTATTTACATAGTAATTAATTTTATTCATAAATTGCTTACAAACTGATTTACAGTGATTTTAAATTGGCTTACCAGAGTAGGCCGCGCGTGTATAGGTGTAAAAAAAGGGGCGCGTGTACTGTAGTGTTAATCCCCCTTTCTCTTCATTCCAGGCGTCTGGTGTAACAGTCTCGGACGCTTGCAAAACGACGTACGAAGAGATAAAAAAGGACAAGAAACACCGTTACGTGGTGTTCTATATCAGAGACGAGAAGCAGATTGATGTTGAGACCGTCGGCGAGCGCAACGCCGAGTACGACCAGTTCATCGAGGATCTGCAGAAGGGCGGCACCGGCGAATGCAGGTAACGTAGCATTCTTCGTTCGTTCGTTTCAGCCAAATGACGTCCAATGCTGGACAAAGGCCTCCCCCAAGGTTTTCCACAATGAACGGTCCTGCGCTGCCCGCATCCAGGCTCTTCCCGCGACCTTTACCAGATCTTCGGTCCACCTAGTAGGAGGCCTACCCACGCTACGTCTTCCAGCCCGTGGTCGCCACTCGAGAACTTTCCTGCCCCAACGGCTATCGTCACTACGAGCTATGTGCCCGCCCACTGCCACTTGATTTTAGCAATTCTGCTAGTAGCATTCTTATCAGTGCAGTAACTTAGCGCCGTAATTTGGTTGATGCTGGTAACTTAGCGCCAAATCCTGACCAATTCGTCACGGCTGTAAGGCGCCCATATCTGTCGCAAAATTGACGATAAGCTAGCACTATCTGGATGAAAATACAGGAGCATAGGCTTACAGTTGGCCAATGATGATGATGATAGCGTCATAAGTTTGACACAAGAGTACCGTTATGGCCTGGAGAGACATTAAATCTGATGCTCTTTTTTCCTACGCCCTATCCATTTTATTATGGATTATGGTTGAGACTGGAAATGTTATTTATTGTAGTTCTCCACTAAGCTATAATAATATTATGATAAGCTAAGCTAATTTGTACTTTGCACTTATTAATCTACAACGATCCCTAATTATTGGGGGAGGCCTTTGTTCAGCAGTGGACGTCCTGTGACTGAAATGATGATGAATCGCCTACCCAAACCATCTGACCGTAAGGAGTGTCTCTGGTAAATTAGTCTTCCTCCTGCAGTGGAGACTGATTTTTTTTTTATGCACAACGAGGAAGCTCTTTGGCCTGTATCTCACCGGATGGTAAGTGATGATCAGGCCGAAGGTGGAAGCGAGCTTCACCCGGAATCCTCAACCACGGAGGAACTGGCTATCTTACCTCTAACTGCCGGAACACAACAATGCTGTTAACATTGTTGTTATGGCTACAGACTTAGATAAGATGGTGGTAGCTAGCTAGGCGGACTTAGAACAAGCCCTACCACCAACCAAACCGAACAGAAAAATCTGCCCCCACTGGGAATCGAACCCGGGACCTCTGCGTCTAAAGCAGGTGGACTTACCACTACTTACAGAAGTGGTTANTTTTGACCCAGGCAACATCCCCATTATACATTCGTGTTATGGGGACAACTTATTGTAGGTAAAAAAGAACGACCCTGGTGCTGAAAAGTGGCGGAAGAAACTCGGTCACCTTTGTCATATTAATCCCCCTTTCTCTTCATTCCAGGCGTCTGGTGTAACAGTCTCGGACGCTTGCAAAACGACGTACGAAGAGATCAAAAAGGACAAGAAACACCGTTACGTGGTGTTCTATATCAGAGACGAGAAGCAGATCGATGTTGAGACCGTCGGCGAGCGCAACGCCGAGTACGACCAGTTCATCGAGGATCTGCAGAAAGGCGGCACCGGCGAATGCAGGTAACTTCACCATATTAAATAGGCCTATAGTCTGGTCGCCGAGCACGTAGAATTTTGTCCAATGCCCCCAAGCTACCCATCCTTATCGCTCGCGATTATATTGCTGTCGCGAGCGCGACTGTGCGACGGGCGCCCGCAGTGAGTGTGCGAGCGCAACAGCAACATATTCCGCGCGAGCGATATGGATGCGTAGCTTGGGGTCATTGGACAAAATTCTACGTGCTCAGTGCTTTACCCACTAAAACCGACGGTGTCCTTCAGTGTCCAAAGAAACCGAGCCGCAAAGAGTTACTAACTTGAAGATTCGTCTGCGGCTCCGTCTCAGGCTTCACACCGTTACCACTTCAGAGCCAGGATCTACAGTTTGATCGCCAATATACCCGACCAGCGAGGGCATTTGTCCCGAACGACCTCATAAAGGTAGCAGGAAGGCGCTGTATGCAGGCCGCTACCAATCGGCCGATCTGGAAATCATTGGATTAGGCCTATGTTCAGGAGTAGACGTCCTGTGGCTAGGGTTGCCAGGTCCAAAATCACAAAAGCCGGACTTTGTGCTTCAGTAATTAGTGTCAGGTCATGACTGAGTACTATCATCATCGGTTGCTAACCAACATCCTGATGCGTGCGCTTTATATGATTCTGTGGCTCGACTTTCGCCTGGCGCGGCAACCAAATAAAAAGCCGGACAAGTCCCTAAAAAGCCTAACATGTCCGGCTAAAGCCGGACGCCTGGCAACCCTACCTGTGGCTGAAATGACGATGATTATTTATTTTTAAGGTACTATTCCCAACTAAACATTCACATTGCTGCAAGTCCTATTTAGCCAGGATCTAACAGCTTGACCGCCAATGTACCCAACCAGTGTAGGCCAAGTTCGTCCTGGGGAAAAATTTAAATGTTTTTGGCATAATAATTATTCTTATCAGTGCGAGTAACTTAGCGCCATAAATGAGGTAACAGCCGCGTGATTCCAGCACAGTTAAATAAGATCACCCCCAATTCTTCCTGTAGATGTCGTACGAGACGACTAGGGAAGTATAATAATTATCAGGCTTCCCCAACCCGTCTAGTCATCCTCCATATGCCATTGCTAAATTGGATAGGGTCTTATTTCTGTATTCCTGAAGCATGACTAACGCCCGTATTCACAAACGATGCTTGCTTAAGTGAAGCAGCAATTTTGGTTTGGTTTCGTGTGTCACCCTGTGCGTCCGCGCGCACCTCATAGTAATGTTTGAATACGGGCAGCAATGACAAAAAACAAACGATGGTGTCACTACAATTTCAACTTTATTGCTTCCAGATATGGCCTGTTCGACTTTGAATACACGCACCAATGCCAGGGCACATCGGAGGCCAGCAAGAAACAGAAGCTTTTCCTCATGTCGTGGTGCCCAGACACCGCTAAGGTCAAGAAGAAGATGTTGTACTCCAGGTATGTAGTCATTTTTGCTTGTTGTTAACCAGAGTAAATACAAATGAGTAGGTCATCTTCATAGAAACGCACCGAGCGCGCCAATACGTATGCGGCGCGCACGCACACACTGACAAAATTTAGCGTGGATTAACGGGGTGTTGCGCCGAATTGCGCCTATGAAGATGACCTACTCATATTTTGTATTTACTCTGTTATTAACCCACGACAGCGCGGCCTAGCATGGGCGATGCGATATAATAATCTTAGTCGATTTTAAGATAAGAAAAACAAAGGGACTTAATTAATTTGACACAAAAAGAAAATTAAAAAAAAGAACAAAGGGACTTAAATTTTAGATGACAAACCTATGGGCTTATCGTGAAAAATCGACAAAATGCCTCGATAAAACGATATGGCGTGCATCCTAGGCTACATGACAGATCACAATTCTTATTCAATGAGGGTTTTCGCGAATGAAAAATCCGCCAGATGGCAATACGTAGACGCGAGGTCCAAATGCTGCATGATTGGTTATTTTTGACATGACATTGACAGATATGTCAAAATCCACCAATCACGCAGCAGTCAGACCCCACATCCACGTCCCGCCATCTAGCGGATCTTTCATTCGCGTTGGCAGTCTGTGGACGCCATTTTTAACTTGTTACTTCAACATAAAGTCAACAATAATTATGCATAACGAAAGAACCCATTCGCGAATTATCATCATTTATGATTTGCTCAAAGAGAAATATGATTGAATCGATCATTATTTCGATACGAATTATGTAGTTTGTAAATAATGCTCTCGTCACTTTAAAATGTTTGTAAAACCTAATAACTAAACATATTTTCACGTAATATGTTGCCATTTTATGTTTATCTCTAAACTGATACTATATCGTTCGGTAAACAGAAATGCTTATCAAATGGATTGAGATTAGTGTTAATGACATTTACATTGATGCCGTCATGTTGTAGTTATTCCAATATTTCCGATACTTTGGGTATTTTGGTTTCATTCTGATTTGCCATAATCTTAGTCTAAACCTCACATACGATGAGGCGTGTCCATCAAATAGCACGTTCAAAGAACCACCATTTTATAAAAGCTGAAAGTTTGTCACCTGAATCAAATCTGATTTTTATGTATAAATTTTGGACAATAATTAGAACTATGTTCCCCAACAGCCAGACAGTTTTGACAGTTCCAACTCCTTGCCAGACAGTTCTTCATAATTCACCAACATTATATCCTATATTGGGAGCATACGCTGACAAAATTTCAGCTTTTATAAAATGAGGAAGGTCTGGCGTTCACTAACTAGCTCTTCGTCTATATTAAAAAACCCCAATTGTAATCTTTGACTTGTCATCTAACTTCGAATTGGCACCTTTGTCGAAATCGAAACCATTATGTAGTTGTTAGTAAATAGTTTTGTTTTGATATCAACCTAAGGCACAAAGCCAAAGCAAATTTTTTACTCTCAGTGGCGGATATTGCTACTTTTTTCCCGTTATCCGCCAGTGGGGGATAATGAAAACATCCTGGGTGTGGCTGTTCAGTATCCTATTATGTTGAGACATCCATAATTGTGATAAGCCGCTGTACTTCTTGTCGCACAACAAACCTATAGAGTGTCAGCCCAAAACTCCGCTACAAGAGTGACGTTGTTTGTAGCCTTCATTAAATCTTCCTGCGCGCAGTTGTTTGGGCACGCAGGGCACGACATCATGTGCTTCATCGACTGGGGAACAAGACCACACTTGCACTCCCAAGTTTGAGCCATCCAAGAGTCCACTTTACTATGCCTATTACATTCTTTTTTACGGATATCCACTCCGATTCGGATTCGGAGAAACTACGAGAATAGGCTAGATGACAAAATTTCAATTTGAAAATTATAAATAACTTGAAAATCGAACTGCCTAATAATAGTCGCCCGGCAAGCGGAAGGTCGTGGGTTCAATTCCCGCCTTAGGCAGTTCGATTTTTTCAAGTTATTTATAATTTTCAAATTAGTTTGAGATGCGACTCTTAACGCTAAAAAATTAATAAAAAAATTCAATTATTTGTCCGTCGGACAAATAATTACAAAATATTAGACTCCTATTTTTTATTTTCTTTCATCCCAACTAATATTATAAATGCGAAAGTAACTCTGTCTGTCTGTCTGTCTGTTACGCTTTCCCGCTTAAACCTCGCAACCGATTTTGATGAAATTTTGCATAGAGATAGTTTGAGTCCCGGGAAAGAACATAGGATAGTTTTTATCCCGGTTTTTGAAACAGGGACGCGCGCGATAAAGTTTTTCTGTGACAGACAAAATTCCACGCGGTCGAAGCCGCGGGCGGAAAGCTAGTAATTAAATAATAACAGTGCTAGAGTAGATGTTTTACTCAAAAGTGGCGTCATCCGACATTTCAACTCAATATAATTACTGTAATTATTCGATTATGAAAAAAATTTAAAAGTATTTGTCCAAAATTTTTTTATTATCAATCGTCTCACCCTTTTGATTAAAAAGTGGTTTGAATATCAAAGCAATGACCTCGAAACATTTGTTGCAGCTCATTCGACGCGTTGAAGAAGTCGCTGGTTGGCGTGCAGAAGTACATCCAAGCCACCGACCTGTCCGAGGCGTCCCAGGAGGCCGTCGAAGAGAAGTTGCGCGCAACCGACCGCCAGTAGTGCGCATATTCCAGGTCGCAGGCATATATCACTCCTTAGCTTCAGTCAACGGCCGCCCGGGACCCTGTACAGATCGGGACCCACACACCGGCGGCACATAGCTATTAAGGATTTATAATAATTTAAATTATACTAATTATATCTATATTTTTTTTTCCTATAAATAACTAAAGAGTAAGTTAAGCTCAAACTAAATTTAAAGGCGCGCGAGCGTTCTCGTCTATAAATACAGTGCCGGACGGCTTTTTATACTGTTTAGATTGTAATATAAATGGTACGGATTTATACATACGCCTAGTTTTTCGTTTGTACTTCAACTTGCTAACGTAAGCTTGTACCACGCGCGGCGAACGTTGATTAAGTATTTTATACCCAATATTCTGAAATACACTCGGTATAAGTAATCGAGAGTTTTATTTTACACCTTTCGCTTTTGTCATTGTTTGGAGAGTAGACTTTAATTAAGAATGTTACTAGGTGTGAAAAATCACTTGAAACCTTTGTTACAGTTAAGCTTTTACATATACAAATATCTACATTTGCCCCCCTAGACAAAACGCACTTTTTGATCGAATCGAGAATCGAATCCGTCAAAACTCCATACAAAAAAGGGGCTTTTCGACCATTTTTCGACTGGTTTGCGATTATAATTTGCACTTTGTCTAGACTCATTGTTTTTATTTCATTCAAATATACCAAGTAAAAATGATTGTAGCATTCAAAGTACCGCACTACTGAACAAAATATATATCGCACTAGCTCAGTCCGTAATAACCTATTGCATCCCGTTTATTCCCGATGTCCCCCACTATTCGTCCACCACTGGTGGACATCGAGAAAAAAAGTTGCAATGTCCACCAGTGGGGGACAGCGCTACTGAAATCTTCCCGTTGGGCCCTACTGGTGGACACTGAGTATCCCAGTATGGGGAGGAGCAGCGAAGTCATAATAGAATTAGAACGAGCTCAAAGGTCCCTGATTAAGTTAATGTACTGTAAGCCCTTTAGATTCTCTACCGATGCCCTATATAAAACCTCTAAACTACTTACTGTCAGGAAACCAATGATCCCAACTAATATTATAAATGCGAAAGTAACTCTGTCTGTCTGTTACGCTTTCCCGCTTAAACCTCGCAACCGATTTTGATGAAATTTGGCATAGAGATAGTTTGAGTCCCGGGAAAGAACATAGGATAGTTTTTATCCCGGTTTTTAAAACAGGGACGCGCGCGATAAAGTTTTTCTGTGACAGACAAAATTCCACGCGGGCGAAGCCGCGGGCGCACACTGGTTCAAGNATGCACATTTGCCTTACATCTACATACATATTTTATACTCTCATCACACCCATGGCACACTTACCTCACTTGTACATTTACATACATATATATACTCGCATTACACCCATGCATATTTACTTCACATTTACATACATAAAATATACTCACATCACACCCATGCACACATACCTCACATTTACATACATACACACCACACCCATGTACACTTACTTCACATTTACATACATATTTTATACTCGCATCACACCCATACTCACATACTCAACATTCACATACATATACTCATATCACACCTAAGCACACTTACCTCACATTTACATACAAACACATCACACCCATGCACACTTACCTTAATTATAACCTTGTGTACTTAACAATGTTATTACTACTAGCAAATCTATCACGTATATAAATCTAATTTGTAACTAAGGTGGAAGAGCGAGGTACTCCCAACACAAGTAGGATCTTACGATTACTTTGTGGGAGACCCCGGTAACTTTATTGTAAATGATTTACAGAAATAAACAATTTTTATTTATTTAAAAGTTCGCATAAATATGGAGTCCCGCCAACGGTAAGTTTTGGTTTTGTGTTCCGTAACCGTTATTGTGTGTTGTGTGGTATTTAATAATTAAAAATGGATGAAGGATTTGATTACTAAACGAACGAGCCCAAACTCGATGGAGTTAAGTCGTTTTATTCCGGACTCCGGAGTTCCTATGGCAAACCTTCCAGCTCCATCATCAGACAGCTCCATGTTATCAGAATCCGAATTACACGTGTATGCGAAATAACAGCTCAATCGGTTGTCCGGAAGTGGTCTGTCGCAGTCGGATTGTATAATCCGCCGTTTTACATTACCACTAGGCATTTTACATTACAGCTCTGTTTTGTAATACGGCGGTTCAACGTTTAGGCGGATTGTCATTGCGATACGTTCTTCAATACGGCCCACGTTTAGCCGCATCATACTACTTTAGATTGTAGGGTGACCATACTTACAAAATAAAACAATGTTTAATGAATATAACTTTTAATAAGACAGATTTTAAGACTTATTACCTTCGTCACTGTATACTAAATAATATAACTATTTGGCTTAAGTATTTTTTTTTACTTATTTATAAATCATAAGGGATAGCCATCTAAAAAAAGTAACTCAAAACAATTAGACTTTTCTAAACATTTTAAGAATTAATTAGATATTTGGCTTTAGTCTTTAGACATTAAAAATGATCAAAGGGAACAGGTAACTCAAAACAATAAAGTTTTAGTTATTTTTTCTGGGTTATTTTTCTTTAAGATAAAATTATCTTCACCGGCCACAGCCATGATTTCATATTTTTACACTAATAATATTGTGTAGGATTCCGCCGAACACCAGAATCCATAGCCACTTTGTCCGGCAGCGCCACGGTATTGAAAATAGGAACTAAAAACTGTCAAAGCGGCGGGTAATGACACGCTGTTTTACATTACGGCTAGCCGTATTGAAGAACGTTTGGCGCCGAATACATTCCGGCGGATTTTCATTCAGCCGTATTCAATCCGGCTAAACGTTAATCCGCCGTATTACAAAACAGAGCTGTAATGCAAAATGCCTAGCTGTAATGTAAAACGGCGGATTATACAATCTGACTGCGACAGCTTGAATTTGGCTTTCAAAAATTAAATACGGGAATGATACCAGTAACAAGAAAATTTATTTCCCAATTGTTCGCCGTACAAATACACTTCCTTTTTTATGAAATCCGAGACTTTTAAGTCGATTTATCTTATTGTAATTAGGTAGGTACTTTGAATTCAATAAATAAGTAAGTACATGATGCGTTTTGTTTTTGTTAGTTATAAAATAATTAAAAACGTATTAAAAATGTCCCTACTTTCGGGAAAATCGCCTTCACTGTCTACACTCCCCAACAAAATTGACACTAATGACATAAGATTTTTGCCTCACTCTTGACGAAGCGTTTGTATGAAGACTATCCATCTAGGTTTTATTAATCTAAGGCTTTAGTCTTTAGACATTAAAAATGATCAAAGGGAACAGGTAACTCAAAACAATAAAGTTTTAGTTATTTTTCTTTAAGATAAAATTATCTTCACCGGCCACAGCCATGATTTCATATTTTTACACTAATAATATTGTGTAGGATTCCGCCAAACACCAGAATCCATAGCCACTTTGTCCGGCAGCGCCACGGTATTGAAAATAGGAACTAAAAACTGTCAAAGCGGCGGGTAATGACACGCTGTTTTACATTACGGCTAGCCGTATTGGAGAACGTTTGGCGCCGAATACTTACATTCCGGCGGATTTTCATTCAGCCATATTCAATCCGACTAAACGTTAATCCGCCGTATTACAAAACAGAGTAAAACGGCGGATTATACAATCTGACTGCGACAGATCTATAATCAGCTTGCAAGATTCCACCCATACAAATTTTTACTTCCTATAATATAGGAACTGGTAAAAGATTGTTCACTAACTTTGTTTTTTAGCTTTCTGTTTTCACATTCACACAAAAGAATTATTTAGCTTTATGTTCTGTCTGTTAAAAATAAAAAATACTCGTAAAAGAATTATTTCGATACGTTAATTATTTTCCAAGATATTGAATTCCAATTTTTGTTCGAGTAGGGCGTCCTTTTCGACATCCTTTTGTGGTGGTTTGGTTGGTTAAAATTCTGTCCGTCTGTATGTTCCTTATAGAAACAAAAACTACTCGATGGATTTTAACGAAACTTGGTACAATTATTCTTCATACACCTGGGCAGGTTATAGTTTACTTAGGAATTCCCACGGGAACAGGAATTAGCGGGAAAATCCTTTTGTATGAAAAATCTAAACGCTTAACGGAAGTTAGACGCTTGAAATTTGGCATGTAGGTACATTAGTAAACTTAAAGCTTATTTACAACAAGTAATTACCGAAATTCCCACGGGAATTAGCGGGAAAATCCTTTTGTATGAAAAACCTAAACCGCTTAAGTTGACCTGAAGTGATGCAGTGACCGCGCGCTCTCCGCCCTCTATCTCGAAAACGGTTCACCGTATAAAAAAAGGCATAGGTAGGTACAGAATAGAAGCTCTTTCTTCATACATTACTGCCTATTATTTTAAACTTGAATTGATGAACCTTGATGTCGATGTCATTCAACCCAGGCGCAAGTGATCGCCCGAAATGTTCTAAACTAGCGCACCGTATAGTAAGGTATTTATATTTAACAAAAATTACAAATCCATGAACATTTTGTATGGGATAATATTTTTTATTTTATTTTATTTAGCTTACAATGTATGTTGTGTGTAAAGTATGTTTGTTCGGGTGGAATTTTGCAAGCTGAATTAAGTAGTTAGACCCATTTCCTGACGACAACCGATTGAGTTAAAATTTCGGATACACATGCAATTCGGATGACAATGCAATATTATGATGACATGGAGCTGATCTGATGATAGAGCTGGAAAGTCAGTGACCCCATAGGAACTCCGGAATAAATGTCTTTAGTAAAAAGTCATAAATGTAGTTAATGCTTTGAAAATAGGCTGTTTATAAAGTTCTTTGGAACATCACTGCCACTGCTTCGGGACAATAGGTGGGCGGGCCAGTGCTGAAAAGAAGCAGCGCAAGAAACTCAGTCACCTTTCTGAAGATGCTCAAGGTCACCCATAGGGCGATGGAGCGTGCTAAGCTCGGAGTTTCCCTGTGTGATCGAATCGGAAATGAGGAAATCCGTAGAAGAACCAAAGTGACTGACATAGTCCGCAGAATCGCTAAAATCAAGTGGCAGTGGGCGGAGCACATAGCTCGTAGAGCTGATGGCCGCTGGGGCAGAAAAGTTCTTGAGTGGCGACCACGAGCCGGAAGACGTAGTGTGGCAGGCCTCCCAACTAATATTATAAATGCGAAAGTAACTCTGTCTGTCTGTCTGTCTGTCTGTCTGACTGTTACGCTTTCCCGCTTAAACCTCGCAACCGATTTTGATGAAATTTGGCATAGAGATAGTTTGAGTCCCGGGAAAGAACATAGGATAGTTTTTATCCCGGTTTTTGAAACAGGGACGCGCGCGATAAAGTTTTTCTGTGACAGACAAATTCCACGCGGGCGAAGCCGCGGGCGGAAAGCTAGTATTAAATATAGTTCGTTCGTTCGTTCGTTTCAGCCGAAAGACGTCCGTCCGTCTGTCTGTCAAGACCCTTTTTTTCATATGTATAGATAACAGCACTTAAAATAAAAAATATGGTCTCAATGTCGACTTTCAGTAGCAACAACAGGGTCAACAACAACAGAAGCATGAAANGATATATAAAGATTATGTTCTAACTATAACCGTTTTGTGAAACATGCAACATTTTTCATAAATTGACATGAAGTAAACCTCCAAAATCTCACTGCGTCAGTGCAAAATATTAAATTACCATTTTTTCTTGTACTTGCACGGCGTCGGCGAATCTTAGCTAACTTCACGTTAATGTTGACAAATAACGTATGTAATACCCTAGACAACTTTTCATAAAACCTCATAATTTAAAAAATATATACAATTGTTTTAGGTACAACTCTGTCCAAGGTTCAACAGGTTCCCCTACAATTATTCTTCATACACCTGGGCAGGTTATAGTTTACTTAGGAATTCCCACGGGGAATTAGCGGGAAAATCCTTTTGTATGAAAAATCTAAACGCTTAACGGAAGTTAGACGCTTGAAATTTGGCATGTAGGTACATTAGTAAACTTAAGGCGATTAGAGTCCTCAATGACCTTGAGCGTTTGACCTTCACGCTTCGCACAACACCCGCGCACCCCGCACGAAAACTCCGATTTGACACCGATCAAAAATACACAGGCATAGGTAGGTACAGAATAGAAGCTCTTTCTTCATACATTACTGCCTATTATTTTAAACTTGAATTGATGAACCTTGATGTCGATGTCATTCAACCCAGGCGCAAGTGATCGCCCGAAATGTTCTAAACTAGCGCACCGTATAGTAAGGTATTTATATTTAACAAAAATTACAAATCCATGAACATTTTGTATGGGATAATATTTTTTATTTTATTTTATTTAGCTTACAATGTATGTTGTGTGTAAAGTATGTTTGTTCGGGTGGAATTTTGCAAGCTGAATTAAGTAGTTAGACCCATTTCCTGACGACAACCGATTGAGTTAAAATTTCGGATACACATGCAATTCGGATGACAATGCAATATTATGATGACATGGAGCTGATCTGATGATAGAGCTGGAAAGTCAGTGACCCCATAGGAACTCCGGAATAAAACGGATTTTAACGAAACTTGGTACAATTATTCTTCATACACCTGGGCAGGTTATAGTTTACTTAGGAATTCCCACGGGAACAGGAATTAGCGGGAAAATCCTTTTGTATGAAAAATCTAAACGCTTAACGGAAGTTAGACGCTTGAAATTTGGCATGTAGGTACATTAGTAAACTTAAAGCTTATTTACAACAAGTAATTACCGAAATTCCCACGGGAATTAGCGGGAAAATCCTTTTGTATGAAAACCCTAAACCGCTTAAGTTGACCTGAAGTGATGCAGTGACCGCGCGCTCTCCGCCCTCTATCTCGAAAACGGTTCAACGTATAAAAAAAAAATTAAACAAAATTTGTAGAGAATTTAGTATTCTACAATATTGATAATAAATACAAATAGCAAAAAACCCATAGGAAATGAGATATTTCCAAAAAAAGCGCAAAAAACCGATTTTTGTGACCTTTGACCTTAAAATTTAATAGTTGCTTACACCCTACCATATGTAGGTTTTGAGACAACTTTTAGGGTGTCAATATACAAGTATTTACAGACTTACAGCTGGGTATCTCTAATTCCGAGATTCTTACCTAATTTAGGCTTAAATGACTGGACTATAGTATTTGAATACAACAATTAATTTAGTTACTGTTATAATTTGATCTTATTGCGAAAATAGATTTGCCAACTCAATTCACTTTTGAAGATGACAATAAATTGGATGATAATAATTTTTATTCTGAATGATAGAGGTCAGAGAAATTATAAATAAAACAGGAAAGTTTTAAAACACACATTTAATTATTAAAATACACAAATTAAAACATAATCGAAATTAAATCATAATTATGACTTTTACCAAATTTAAAAGTACAGTTTTTGACTTTTTGTTAATTAAAATGTATTTACAGTGAATGACTTTAAATGATAGAATCAATGATATTATATGTAATATCATTGGATAGAATGATGTGACATCGGTAATGATTTTTATTAACATTTACAATAAAATTAATTTAAATTTCCTTTGACATTTGGGATTCAAATTTTGTTTCCTGACATTTATTTAATGTATTGTTAATTGTTATTGTCATGGTATGAAAAACAAGTTAAAACAACTACGAGTAAAATAAGTAGGTATTTTGAGTTGTAAAAATATGTAAAGTCTAAAACTAAATGTAGCAATAATAATTTACATAACTTTAAGAACAAGAACTTTTGCACGTCGCATGCGGCAGAATATGCTGGAATTAATTAAACTAACACCAATCTGTAACCATGTTCTTGCAAATAAGTGATTTTGATTATATTATCTTCTGAAAAAGCGTATTGTAGTTATCGGTGGGTTACTTAATATAATAAACTTTATCAAATGTCAAGAAATTACATTATACATAATATTATTATAATCTCATAATAAAAAACACTGCAGACCCACGATACCCCTGGTGGTATCGTGGGTCTCGTTAAAGAACTACACTTCAGACCCACGATACCCCTGGGAGTAAAGTTGACAAACGAGGACCGGCGCGGGCGGGGAGGGGACGCACAGTGCACACGGCTAGTGCACAGTGTTGTGGAATACCTGTTTGAATTCTAAATTGATTCCATTGAACATGCAATAAAATTTATATTGTTAAAAACAAAATAACAACAATTCATACCTACATACTCGTATAATGAATAATTAGTATCAGGTAAAGTACCAGGGCAACATAACCATAAAGGAGCAATTTTGTGATACATATTTATTTCTCGGGTCAACCAAGAAGAATTTGATAATAGCTCCTATAAGGTTATGTTATCCTGGTATGTACCTTTTATTTACCGTAGTAAATTCCTTTTTTCCCCACTGCTCAACTAGACTGCTCAACTGCGCAACTGTTCAACTGACTGGTTATATTTCCCATACAAACTGCCCTACTGGAGAAGTTTTGTAATGTTAAAAAAAAACTTTATTTTGACTTCATAAAATTAAAATATAGCCTAAAATTAATAATGTAAATAAAAAAAATATAAATTATTGATAATCAAGATCTCTTTTTTTTCTCAAGGGCAAACTACTCATTTAATCATTGTCACACACAACGTGGTAGACGAAATTACCTTTTTATAACATAAAGTAGCAGGACAAAAATAAATAATTATAGTCAAAATGTTAATTTATAAGTGCTATTAATTAATTATTCGTTGTATGTAGGTATGAATTGTTGTAATTTTATTTTTATTTTTAACGATATTTTTGGGTCTGAAGTGTAGTTCTTTAACGAGACCCACGATACCACCAGGGGTATCGCTAGGGGTATCGTGGGTCTGCAGTGAATAAAAAATTGCTCACAATTGTAATAACAAATGGCGTAGGTACATACAGTTCCTTGGAGCAGTAACTTAATGATGAAAGTGAATATAAACACTAGAATATCTTATTTATTATAAAATTAAAGAAAGAAAGAAAGAAAGAAAAATTTTTTATTCAGTATCATCGACAATACACTTGCAATACTTAACATTATTTAAAATTACATAAGATCATCAAGAATATACACTCGGCATCAAATAAATCGCACCTCCCGCGACAAGCACTTATCAAACGTATGCATCCACACTTCCCATCAACATTGGTACCATTTGAAAGCCTAGTTCTAAACTTCATTTAATTAAAGGAAAGGTTTTTACCCCAAAAATGTGTCTTTACAAGGATCCAGAGTCACTTCTTCAAAAAATAGGTAGTTACGCTATAGCCATTTTTTATTACTATAAAACTGTTAAGTTGGGATTAATCGCTATCCATCTGTTAAAGAGGACACGTGAGATCTTTATTTAGTTTTATAACCATAAAAATTGGTCTAATTGATCCCAGAGGTGAGCCCAAAGTGAGGTCTATTTTCAAGTCACATTTATGGTATATGTTAATTATATTTATTTAGAAATGAAATGTATTTTTCTTTAAGGATATTTATTGGGCTTTCAAATAACACCAATATTGTTGGGGTACCATGATCTTTGATCTATGAAAATCTTTAAAGTTCGCGTCGCGGAAGGTGCGGCTTATTTGATGTTGAGTGTATAATTATTTATGATATTAAACATGCAAATAACCATCCACACGACGTCGCATCATAAGGTTTAGAAAGAAGTAAATAACATTACTTACATAAATATTATAGATGACAGAAACTACATATTCTGTACTTTTTATACATTTTATCTAAAATTCTAAACTCATGGACTATTGTACATTGTAACTAGTAGTGCCTATTAAACGAGTATTCTAAAAGAGTATTGTTACTTTTATAGCTAAAAGCATTTTTGATTGCATACTAAAAAACGACACGCTTTACAATGGAGATCATAATACTTGGGCATTGTAAAAAGAGCCAAAACAAATACTTCAATCCCAAGTTCCCAACACTCGAGATCATCCAAAACGTTCCTCAGATAAGTTCACCACAACCTTTTCACAACGAAGTCAAATCACGCACCTTTTTTTAACTGTTCAAATTGAATCACCTCACACAGACATCACTGCTGTCCACATAATCCATCACAACCTTTTTGTCTTTATTATTATTTATTAGCCATAAGGGTCAAAGTTCGCGTCCGTTTATTCCTCCGAGTCGTATTTGCTTGCGAAGTTGATGATATACGGAAGCATGTGCCTCAGCAAGTACCTACGAGAATAGTACGAACAATATGATGTTAAAGTTGATCATGATCAACGTAATATGCAAATATCAGTTGCGCTTGCTTACTCTGCTGTTGGACTATGACTAGCTTGATCTTCTCCTTGGTCACCTTTGGCGACGAGTATATTCGTGGCTGGCATCAGCTGCTTCAGATTCCGACTGGGGATAACTGGGGCCGGAGGATACCTCGCTAGCTGTTTCATGCGGTCTACCAGCCGCATAGCGTCATCTGACGTCTCCGAGTCGGTGGTCATGCCGAGCGACAGAGCTCTTTCTGCGTTACCGCCGTCAAGGTATCGATGCACCGAGTGGAAGCGGCCGCGGCCCGAGCGCGCCACGCAGCCGCCTCGTCCGCCGCCGCCGCCACGCCCGCTTCCAACGCCGCGCACGCGCCTCGCAGGTCCACCACCTTTTGGAAATATCTATACAAAAGAGTTTTCATTTCATCATGAGATAATTTGTCAAGCCTTCCCATCAACATCTGCTCGCCGCGAGTCCTCGAGTCCCTATCATCCTGGGTGTCGGAGAGGGAAGCAGAAGGTGATTTGCCACAAATCAGATTGTTCTTATACTCTATGGCAGTGTCTATGGCCTCAATAGCCTCTTCACACTCTAATAATTTGCGCTCCTCTGAATCTGAAAGAGATTTATAAATTTTTCTCTTATGTCCTAAACTGCATCGTTGTTCATGTAAACATTCTCGAGTTTTGCGCAAGTTTTTAATCTCCTTTCTCAACATCAAGTCTTTCTCTTTTGATAGTTCCAAATTTTCTAAATCATTCGTTTTCTCTTTCAATATACTATCAACCTGAGTAATTCTATTCGTAAAATGCTTTAATGAGTTAGTTTTCTTATCTTTAACATCTAGAGAACTTTCAGAAAGTTCATCTAATTTTAATTTATCTTTTACAAGTTCTACATCTAAGGTATTTTTACGCTTCCCATCCTTTTTTATCTGTCTTTTAATTTGATCAATCTGTTTTTTATAAGTCTTCAAACTTGACTCATGTCTTCTTATTTCTTTCAAGGTATCTTGATCAACTAGCACATTATCCTCAGATTTCTCTAAGTAGTGTTTGTTGTGTGTATTGTGAGACACTGCCCTTGAAAGGTCATCAATTAATCGCTCTTTGGCTATACACAAATTAATCAGTTCCTTCAGTTGTGATTGACTGCAACTGATTTCTTTGGATAATTTACGTGCCAAAACTTGCGTTTTGTGTATATTTTTCTTTAGTTATTTTATATTTTTTGCATATTTCGTCAGTCTTTGGTGAATCTATCATCTTCAATAGCTCTCTCTCTATTAACTTTGGTTCCGGATCAAGATCTTTTTTGTGTGATTCTATTAATATCTTTTGAGATTCAGGTGAAATAGCTTTTGCTGCTACTTTTCGTAATAGCTCTAACTCAGCACCAGATAGACTTTCCCCAGGTTGTATTGTTCGCCGGCGTCCTGAATTAGACTGGGACGTCATGATGGGCAATGATTGAGAGCCACTGGTCTCTGATATTGTAATATCATCAGAATCAATATGATTCAGGTACTCCTCACATCGGTCTGCAAAAAGTTGATCATTCTTCTCTCTAAAATATTCCATGAATTCTTCAAGTTTATCCTGGAATACTGTCTCTGAATGACTATCTTCGGAATCACTGTCCCCATCAGTCTCACTTGGCTCACTTGGTTCTGTGTCTTCAGCAATTCTAGGTAATCCCTGTTTGGGTCCAGCATCTTTGTTATCAGTTCCAACATCAGTACTTAAACATTCATCACATTCAGCCTTTAAAAACAACCACTCAGTCACTTGGTTAATATCAGCTTCAGACAGTGATTTTGATAGAAGAATTTTGTTAAAAAGTCCTTCAGCATTTGAAACCAGTTTTATCCACTGAGCTGTAGCAAATTGCAAGTTAAAATTATTTTCATTTTGAGGAGGCATTGTCTTCTCAGTGTAAACAGGGGTGTTGTTATCAGCAAAGAGATTAACAGTTACAAAATTCTTTATGCCTCTGCAGCATAGACATAAGTTCAATATTTTGAGAGTATCCTGATAATCTTCAGGCTCTGTGCTGATACAGCCTATGACCCATGTAAAGGCTCTGCCACCAAATGAATCTCTGAGCATTGCTGTGAGTGTGCATTGGTCATAATTAATTTGTTTTGGTGGATTTCCTGCCAACAGCTCTTTAATTATATTTTCAAGAGCAAAAAGGCCCGGCTCCGGGTAGGCTGCTAGGTCACAGAAACTAGCTGTTGACATTCTGTGATTAAGCACACCATTGGTGCCCACCCACTTTTGTTCTACACTAACTGTGAACACCGTATGGTTGTTCCCCGGGCACCTTTGTCTCCAGCCCATCTGTAGGTACTGAAAAGCTTCTTCAACATTGTAGCATCTCACTAACCCTGCCCCCAGAACATCGAAGATGTTATTGTTTACAACTTGCATCCATGTTATGTGCAAGATAAACTCCCTTTCTGGCATGTGATTGAGTTTATGGAATATTTCTGTGAGAAATCTAAGTATGATTCCTTGATCACTCTCACTATGAATGCATTCAAAACCTGAACCAAATAAAGTGTATGTTTTTCCTGTCTTTGGCTGACCAAACACAACAACAGAAGCATCGCAGCCATCCAAGAAGCAATTGATTTGGAATCATGAAAGAGTTAAACAAATTGGCTTGAGTACAGTCCAATGGTAGAGCCCTGTTTATATGAAATGTTTGTCCACTCTCCGTGATTACAATCTGAGTGACTGGATTACTAAATATATGTCGCAGTCGGATTGTATAATCCGCCGTTTTACATTATCACTAGGCATTTTACATTACAGCTCTGTTTTGTAATACGGCAGTTCAACGTTTAGGCGGATTGAATACGGCTGAATGAAAATCCGCCGGAATGTATTCGGCGCCAAACGTTCTTCAATACGGCTAGCCGCAATGTAAAACAGCGTGTCATTACCCGCCGCTTTGACAGTTTTTAGTTCCCATTTTCAATACCGTGGCGCTGCCTGACATAACAACAACAATGGCGTCAAATGTGTTGCTAAATTACGGAGTTATTTCTGATTCTAATAAAGAAAACGTTATAAATATGTGTGTCGACAGTGAGTTTATGAACAATTTTAACTTGCAATTGAAGAATTTCTATTCTTCACAATGTAGAACAGTCAAAAAACCGTGGACAAGGGACCGAGTTTTGGAGGTTATAGCCCACATCAAAACCGCTAAAGTGGCTATAGATTCTGGTGTTCGGCGGAATCCTACTCAATATTATTGGTGCAAAAAGTATGATATTATGACAGTGGCCGTTTTAAGATGTTTGTACCTTGTGATTACTCATTATGTTTAAAAATGACTAAGGCCAAATATTTTATTATATTATTAACTTTCAAAAAAAGTTTATTTGTTTTGAGATGGCTATCCCCTGTGATTTATAAATATACAAAAAAATTACTGAAGCCAAATAAAAAACCGTGGACAAGGGACCGAGTTTTGGAGGTTATAGCCCACATCAAAACCGCTAAAGTGGCTATAGATTCTGGTGTTCGGCGGAATCCTACTCAATATTATTGGTGCAAAAAGTATGATATTATGACAGTGGCCGTTTTAAGATGTTTGTACCTTGTGATTACTCATTATGTTTAAAAATGACTAAGGCCAAATATTTTATTATATTATTAACTTTCAAAAAAAGTTTATTTGTTTTGAGATGGCTATCCCCTGTGATTTATAAATATACAAAAAAATTACTGAAACCAAATATAATTTAGTATTACTTACAGTAACGAAGATAATAATTCTTACTTAATTACTAAGGAATATCGTGAGAAGAAATCTGTCTTATTAAAATTTATTTTCATTAAACATTGTTTTATTTTGTAAGTATGGTCACCCTACAATCTAAACAGTAGTACGATGCGGCTAAACGTGGGCCGCCGTATTGAAGAACGTATCGCAATGACAATCCGCCTAAACGTTGAACCGCCGTATTACAAAACAGAGCTGTAATGTAAAATGCTTAGTGGTAATGTAAAACAGCGGATTATACAATCTGACTGCGACATATACATTGAGTCGAGTCAGCTAGGCTTGGAGGTTTTAGCCTTACTGCTATTTGTACTGGGATATCCATTTTTGAGTAAAGTCGACGATCTTTTTAAATAACAATCATTTAGCACCAGATAAAGAAAGCTGCAATATCTATCGTGCGGTCGGGCGACCGGGGATCGGTGGTGAGAATTACGCCCTCGGCCATGTGCAGATTGAAATACCCAACGAGGACGTTCATTTTAGCGTTTTCTTTCTTCCCTTTTAAATGTGCGGTGTACGCCTCGATGCCGCGATAGTTTGACATTATATCGCCGTAATTATTGAAATCTATTTTGAAGGCGCTCCCCGCCTCCGTCACGTATTCCACGTCGTCGAACGTCACGACGTCCTGGCCGTCGAACGATTCGGCCGAGTCCGCGTGCACCGGGCCCGGGGCGACTCCCAGGATGTCCTTCGCGGCGGTGCCCAACTGGTACCTGGAGATGAGGCGGTGGCATTTCGTACGCCTCTTTCCGTTTCTTATCATTATGGAACCGGAAGTTTTCGGCCTCGAAAAAATTTTCATTGGCCGAGTCCAAATTTCTTTTCATGATTACTAAATTTAAGTCGATTTGTATAATTTTTTCAAAGTGGCAAAGGGCTTCAAGGAGTTTTGAATTCTGCATTAGATGTTGCCCGATGGCGTAGGTACAAGATATTTTATGTTGCCGGGGTACATAACTACGCATCGACACGACGTAATTTATATACATCTGCGTGCGTTTGCCCGGCACCTTCGCCAATATGTCATTATATTTAGTCAATTGTTCCCTGTATTCATTTTAGGCGAAAAGGCGAGACTGGGTTTGGTAGGTAAGCACTCGGGAGCTTAGACACAACTGAAGGCTGAGTTGTCCATCTTCTGAACAATAACGGTTTCTTTAGGTTCATTTGTTTTGTTCGAACAATCCAAGACATAATTTTCAACATCAGAGTCGCTTGAATCTTCGGGAGGAGTGAATTCATCATGGTAGCCATTGCTATGGTACCCCTCGTCTGATCGCACCGAACCATCGTTGGGTGTTAGTTGCGGCTCATAATGAGGTGGCCCAGTGAGTTAGGCTTGGAGATT